ACCTAAATGTCCCCATGAAATAAAACAAAATTAATATATTTCAATACGTTTTTTTGGCATCTTTATATTACTTAATTATTTATTTAATTATTAAATTTTTACCTTATTTATTTATATGTTTATTTATTGTGTTTGGACTAAAACGGCAGTCCATACTAGCGCCGAAAAAACGCGAGAGCGATCAGACGAAAAAGTGCGCGCGGATGACAAACGTCGAATTAATCTGAAGCGTGAACGCGCACGCACGGCGTGAAGCAGGCAGGCAGCTAGCTGAGGTTGTGGCGTGCCCGCGCCGCACCAACACGCATGAGCGGCCAGTCGCGCACAGCTTCAGAGCAGCTAAGGCTTTTTTATTATTATTAATATTTTTCTTTTGACCCTCATATTTTTTTCCTATAACATCTCTGCGTTTTGAAGTCCAAACGTCGCCACCATGCTGTGGACGGCCTGCCAGGTCTTCAGGAAATTCTCGTCYTCGTCCGTGAGTACAGGCTGAACGTGAACACCGGCTGTTTCATGTCAGATCGGCTCGTTCTCAGCTCGTGGGTCGGTCAGAGGCGCTGGTTCCGTTCGGGGATCTGCAGCAACACCTTGTTGTGCGTTAGTAATCTACAGTTTGCCACGTTGTTGCTCGCTCGCATCTCTCCGCTGTGTGTCCCTATACTGTACAAGAAGGGCAGGAGTTGCATCATCATGTGGGCTCCAGCTGCTCAGGAACAAACCCAGCTGACACGTTTCACAGTGGGTCCCAGGAGTGAGGCTGTGCAGACAGGTGCAGCCCGACACAGAACCGGGCCCTGGGCTCCGGTACTTCTTCTCTTCCTGTTTGGCAGAGCTGGTCTGGAAGGAGCCAGTCTGAAAAGTTTGGAATTTGTTTTAGTGTTTTCCACGCTGTGAACCCTGGATTTAATTTGACTTTTGCACAATGAATATTAAAGGGATCCCCCATTAGTTGTAACGTTAGACTTTATATGATAAACATAWACTTTAACTGTAAAATAAAGACTGTAAAAATACTGTAGGATGTTCAGCTTTTATCATTTTTAAACTAAACATTAAAAAATATGTTACACGGATGGGACCATTTTATTTACATGCAAAGCATTCTGGGTAAATGATGATGTGGAT